AATCGTATCGAGGTTAATTGCAACATTTTGTTAATCGTTTCGGTTAAAATGTTAATCGTTTCGGTAACTAGTTTGAAGAGCAGTACTAGTGATTGCAAGGATTGATTTGGTGAAACCTTTGACGTGAACCAAGTCCATGGCATCCTGATATCATCGTGTGACTGGGGTTTTAGTAACATATCAATCCCCAATGTAAATAAACAAGAACAAAGGACAGCATGTACAGGGTGTTCAAAAACATGACCATAAGAAAGTTGAATAATCTGGTCAATTTTGCATATTTTACCTTGAGATTTTAAAATGATTTAGTTCATTCAATGTGAATTTTGTTCTAAAAGTCTGATGATAATCTGTCTATTGTGTCAAAAACTACAGTACCTTACACAACATGCTCAAAGTGGGCACTTCTCTATGCACAAATGAATGACCCGACCTATACTGTGCATTGTTCAGAATGCATGGATGCTGTTGCACTTAATCTGGAGGATGTAAGCCCCAGTAGCAATTGTTCTTGGAATAAACGTGTCCATTCAAAAAGAAATGTGTGTAGGAGAATCATCAACAACTTTGTTCACCGTATTGAATTGTGCATAGAGAGGAGAGGTGCACATTTGGGGCATGTTTTGTAAGGAACTGTAGTTTTCGACTCAATTGGCAGATAATAATCAAACTTCCACAATCGAATTCACATTTAATGAACTAAATAATTCTGAAATTTCAAAGCAAAGTACGGAAAATTGACCGAGTTATTCAATTTTAATACGGTCCTGTTTTTGGACACCCTCTATATATTAACAAATACATACTACATGCATCTTAACTTTACACAAAATAAATAACATTACACCTTTCATTGGTCTGTTGGTCAACAAATAGTGTTTGTCCTTGATTATGATATTATAGTATCTATAGTGGGCCAAATTTCCATTGAAGCAATGTTCAGATTCTTTAAAACCTTTGTTTATTCGTTTGACAACCAAACACTTCACGATTAATCACAAATAAATAGCTACATTGACAGGGTGTTACCATAGTATAGCCATTTGCATTTCAGACAGATTCAACCCACACTTTTTCATAAATCATTAAACCATGATTAAACTAAGTGACTATTGAAAGTTTATAACATGGATGGCTATGGCAGCTTGGCCCAAGCAAATGAAGAATGACAAGGGTGACATGATCTATTATGTCAGCTTTATTAAACTATATCAGAAACTATACTCGTATATATCCCATTATTAAAACTAATTGAAGGTGATATTAAAAGAAGTTATTCACCAAGGGGATTTGATATGGGAAATATCACAAGGATGATATTATTATTTCCCGAGGGAACGCAGTGACAAAGGGAAATGTTACGTTGATATCATCCGATATCATCAACCCGACAGGTGAATAATGACCTTATTCCATGGTCAAGAGCAATATCCTCTGTTGAATTAAAAAAATGAAAATCTTTGAAAAATGAAAATTTTTGAAAAACGTAAAATTATATATACCTGGGATTGATATAATCCCTCTAATCCCAATATCATCCCTGTCCAAAATATGTGATTTATTACTTGCTATTATACGGTGTCCAACTCAAACGCTCTTACATGCACGACGGAGCGTTTCATTCACGCGGAAACGCTGCGGAGCGAAATAAAATGACGTCTAATGAAGACCCCAATATGACCGTAAGTATTGTTTCACTCGTTTCTCTTACATATCATACGTTATTGTGATATATGAACCATTCGATGAACAATACCCTGAGCTCTTGTCTTATTTATTCAACTGTCAAACTGTTATTTGCTTGATCGAACGAATCTGAAGTTGACGAATTGACCACAAATTACGAATTAAACTAGTATTTATATGAAGACGTCAATCTTTCTGTCAAAGTAGTAGATCACAAACTCGTATATTCTCATTTGCTAAACCCCAGTCCAAATCCATTATTGTTCTCGAGAAACCGCTTGTTTTCCTCGAAACGCTCCGTCGATTTTGAACACTCTTTTAGAAACGCTCTTATCATTTTGTTTTGATATTATTTTCAGATTATTAGAAAAGAGTTCGGAATCGAATCTATCTCTCAAAAACGTGTTGTACTTGTTGTTGAAACGTCCGAACCTGTTGGTGCTAAACGTGTAACAAGTCGGTCTTTAGCCTACATTACCCTACTATCACACCAAACTACAGGGTGGGCCAAAAAAAAACCAATACCAAACTTCAAATCAGGATAAAAATACTTTTGTTCAATATGATACATTGACTTATATATCATTTTAAAGGTAATACATTTTCAAACAATTTGGTATATAACACTATGACATAAAATCAATAGTAAAGGTGTATTATACTTATTTGGGAGGCTGGGTCGCTATTTAAGGTCTCTAGATTTAAGGGAGAAAACAGTAAATCTGTGGAATTATGTAAACTTTTTATTCATAGAATATCATTTTGTTAGGTGAATACATGCATGTTTATTTGCATCAATGTGTGACTAAACTTATTGTTTATGAATTTCAGTGTTGTTTAATAACATTTTACAATTTATTTATTTAAACAATTGCTTAATATGCCCCCCCCCTCTATGCGTCAACAATAAGCCTCAAGCGGTAGCGCCATCTATCAACAGATTACTGTTGCAATACATTCCAGCAATTAGGATTCCGCGGTTCAGCTAATCACTACTTTTCATTGGATGCTTGTGACTGTACACCATTTCCTGGACCCATTTCCATACATGGAGATGGCTCCATGTATGGTAATCCACCACATTAGCATCGAGCTGCTGGGTGGCCAAGCATCTGGATCAGTCACTGACAACTTGTTCGTGAAGGAATGCCAATGTCACCTTTGATCTATGGGACAAGGCACTGTCTTATTGAAAAATACCCCCCCCCCCCAACCAAATATACGTTTTATGTCTTTTAACATACCTCTTTTGAGTACTTATTGATAGTTATCAATACTGAAATTAATAAACAATAAGTTAAGTCACAAATGATGCAAATATACAAGCTTGTATTCACCTAACAAAATGATATTCCATGAATAAAAAGTTTACATAATTTCAAAGATTTACTGTTTTCTCCCCAAAATCTAGAGACCTTAAATAGCGACCCAGCCTCCCAAATAAGTATAATACACCTTTACTATTGATTTTATGTCATAGTGTCATATACCAAATTGTTTGAAAATGTATTACCTTTAAAATGATATATAAGTCAATGTACCACATTGAACGTAACTATTTTTATCCTGATTTAAAGTTGGGTATTGGTTTTTTTTGGCCCACCCTGTAGTTCTTACTACATTCTCGAAAACGGGCTTCAACTGTGTACGAACGGACTGGACGTACTAAGAACCGTTTGGGGTCTATTTACAAACTTCATCGAACGTACTTGAACGGGTAGGTCCTCTAGAACTTGCTCAAAATGCTCTCGTGGTCGTCACGTTCTACAATTAGAACGAGTGACAACGTACTAACGACGAGCTGGGCGTACTACAAACGGAATCGTCGTACTTCAATCCTACTAGGGATGTTTTTTCAAAGAGTTGAACTGTCTGAGGACGTATTGAGAACGAGGTAGAACTAATTGCAAACGGGTTTAAACTGATTAAGAACGTATTAAAAACTGCTTATGAACGAGTTAGCAAAAATATAGCTATCACACCAAACAAGTTGCCACTGCATTCTTCAAAACTGGTTTTAAACTGTGTACGAACGGAATGAACGTATCTGCAACTTTCTAGGACTATTTACGAACTTAATGTACGTTCTCAGACGGGAAGGTGATTTTAGAATTTTGAAATGATTCAAAATTCGATGGCGACCATACCGTTCTGTAATCAGGTCATGATGACCTTCTAGACTAAGGGACACGTTATACGGCGTTGCACACCGACGTGGTGCGACCTGAACGAACTGCGAATGAGATGGACGTATTGAAGACTGTTTATGAACGACGTAGCTAATTATTTTAGACATATTTCCCGACCACAGCCAGATTGAGCCCGTTTTACGACGTTTTCGTAGGACTGGCAAGAACGGGTAAGAACTAGTTTGGTGTGATGGGGGGGGGGGTTAGATGATGGTATGCATACATGTGTGCTAAAACATAAAACTATTAACAAAAAAAACAAAAAGCTTATATGTGAATTAATCTTACTTCTCTTGATGCCAAGGGATAGAATAGATCTCCTCTTTCTCTTCCTGAAAGGGAAAGTCAAGCTATATATTTTCTAAACAGACCTAGACTACCGCAGCGTTTCCGTTTCACTGTGTTAACTCGATCGCAGCGTTTCTTGAATATGAGAATGTCATCATTTTTAAGACTGTATATTCTGTCATCAAATCACTATTACGTATGGTGTGCTGAAGCTTTGGAATTTAACCAAAATAATAATGAAACGCTCCGTTGTGCATGTAAGAGCGTTTGGGTTGGACACCGTGCATTATAGCCCTGATATTGCTCTGACCATGATATAATATATATTATTACATAATTATATGTGTCTGATTTAACAGACCCTCTCAGCTATACTGACACAGTATAGTATCTCTTTAGAGAGAATATTAGCTGTGGATACCACTATGCATAATTAGTAATTACGATATATCATTGTTTATAAGTCAGTTATACCCATCAGAAAATGGAGATGTCTTCAAACGTATCACAACACTTTAGGTGAGATAAGAAAGAATGAAAATAATACCAAAAAGCGGAACAATTATTTTCACAACTGTTGATGGTGTGTTTCACTGTTGGATGACTTAATTAATAGTTAAACCATATTTATGTGAGGTACTTAATTTCCGCAATAGCGACAACTTGTTAGTTTGTTCCACCTGCACAGACTGGAAGTAGATACAGAGGACGACATGGAAGCTTGAACGCTCATGAACACCCCCGAGTGACACAATGGGGAGTTTAACTATTCTTAAAATATACACTACCCTCCATAAGTTTGGCAACCGAAAGTCTTTATTTGATAGCGATTTAATACACAGGGCCTATTTGAATTTCTATTTCGTTTCTATAATACAATAGTTGAGAAACTTATGACTGACACATTTTCAGGTTGCCAAACTAATGAAGGGGAGTGTATACACATACATGTTTACGCCTTTTTCAGTCTGTACTGATGACCCCGGGGATAATTCAATGCACATGGAGATTTGGAGGACAAAGAACAATTATTTTTATTTTAACTTGAACACGTGATGTTCAAATCATGAATTACATAAAGCGACATTGAGGTAGATTTCAATATAAATTAGTTTTTAACCGCTACTCAATGCAGATTACATCAGGAAGATGGAGAAATACGGACCGATTTCATATGCTTTTATGAAATCTGGATATCAAAGGAAAAGTAAGTGATCGTAATATTGAAATAAAAAGTTGAAAAATTGTTTTTTCCAATAAAAATATTTCTCAGTTTCACATTTACTTCGATTGTTTTTCTGACTATTAGGGATTACTTAAATTGATCAAATGGTTTAGTTTGTTGTTTATCAATGTTCTGTACACGGGGTTAGTACTACTTCGTAGTAGCTTATCTTCCTTACAATAAATATAAATACAAAGCATTTTAACCCATGTAAAGTTAGTAAAACCCACTAAAAGTAGTGGCGTAGGAAGGTGTAAATTCAACACAACGCCAAAAATATGAAAAATGTGTCAAATCTTTTCTTCTATTTTATGCTCGAAAAACGTCATTATCTAATGTGCTTGAAAAGTTAGAATGGTTTTCATCATATAAAATCACCACAGAAAGTCGATATTTTAATTCTCGACCCTCATTCTCACTTTTCGAATGAAAATGTTTATTTTTTCGAACGCTATAGACGACCAATTACCAGATATAAACAATAAGAGATTTTTAATCAATTTTGAATACTATTGAGTAATTGGACTTAGATACATTGTATTGCCTGATTCCATCGTGCACCGTGCGATACGACAATCCAGATTAAAGAAACTAGTATGATCAATTGATTTAAAGAAACATATCTGTGATCAATGATGCAATTAACCCTAATACTGTCTGCAACTATTTTATAACTAATTCGCAATACCAAATATACCTCAACAAAGGTCAAATCGAGGTTAACGTGACAATTTTGACATTTTGTGATAAATTGTTAATTACATTTCAAAATATTTTTTGTGCCACAAATGATATATTTCCTAAGATAATAATCTACTTTCTTTAAAATGAAATAAAAATCCAGATAATAGCTTTTCTAGAACTGAAGTACTTTCAAAGATAGCAGGTATCGCGAAAACTGATTGAAATCAGGGGAGTATGTGAATAATCAACAATTTCAACTTCAACTTGTTTTTGTTTTTAACATTCATATTTCAAGAAGTACTACAAATTAATAACAATTAGTGATTTAGTAAGAAAATATATAAAAGCTGACTAATCATTATTCCAATATAATTTTGATCATGATTTTGCTTAGCAAACGATTTCTATTACCTCGCTCCTTTCTAGAACGATATTGCTAGTTCAAAAACAAAAAAGGTATGATGAGTATCAGATTGAAGACTGTTCTTTCAAAGAGTATATGCCAGATTCTAGACTTCATTTTGGCATTACAGTATACAACGCTTTGGGAAAGTAAAGAAATAAAAAACTGTGTAATGTCGTTCTTTCTTGGCTCACTTTGCACTTATATTAAAGGAACTATCGCAATCATGCAATCATACGTTTACTCTTACAAATCATATTATTAAACACCATGCATGTCTATAATTGAATCTAGCAAATCTTGACTTGCAATGGTACGTGTGAAGCTTACGTAAGTGACAGATAACGACGAAGTAGACACAAGTCTATCAGCTTATATCAAGGGGGAAAGTCTACCCGCGTATATGCAACCTACCGCCGAGTAAGAAACGCATATACCGCCAATCAAATTTTTGGTAAACTACATCTCATAGGAAAATGGACAATAAAGGTAATATTGAGCCACTATCAATTCCCTTGGATGGCTAGAATCGTAACTAAGATGTTCTAGCAGGCGGAATTGGCATAGAATTATAGTTGAAATATATTTTTATGTCAACATTAAGAGATCAGTAAAACGTATAATGGTTTTTGGTTTGTTTTCTCATTCATATTCGCTTTAATTGATAACGAGACATACATAAGACATACCTGGGTCGGAAAAATGCATGTCTTATGCATTATATATTAAGTGTCAAACTATTAGGTCAAAATAGCACTTTTGAACAGCAAAAATCTTCACATAAACTTTGTCCTAAAAGATCCGATGTTATCGGACATCGGACCCGATGTGATCGATGAGTAATATTATAAAGATCCGAAAATATCTTGAGTAAAGGATCTCAGAATCCGAACATTACTTGAGTAAAATCTGGTGAGATCCGTTTATGACGTGCTGATGATGAAATAGTGTTAGGGTTACTTTTGGGACATATTGACCCAGACCGACACAACAGAAATTAAACACTGGAGGATAAGAATCAATTATTATCCATATTTATGGATAAAAATGAATGTATCAAGTTTTTAATCTCTATTGGTCAATCTTTTTTCATTTTAGTAGCCGTTCCACTGATATCTTATTTTATTCAAAATTGAGAGCAAATGAGCATAACGGGTCTTTTAACTGTGCACATTTTAGACCAATCAAAATATACAACTTTTTTCATATGTTTACCTTCTTGGTAGATACAAAATAACACGTACCAAAATCATTGGATTATGAGCATAGTCAGATAGAAGTGATGATATCATTAACAATGAAAATTATGGTGTTTCAAGTGAAAGCATGAGTTCAATGTTTTAGAGAACTTTGCGGGGCACAGACGTTGACGTATAGTCTTCCGGGAATTAAATCATATTAACAGGAATTTTTGTGATATACTTCATGTTATTATATGATCATCCGAAAGCTTACTCACTCCCTCATCGGGTTTTACTCATGGTATAATCGGAGGCGGTAGCATCGGGTCCTATAGAATCGTACTCGTCGTATAATCCTGTCTTTCATTTTCAACGTTCACCGGTGATTTCAATGATATGCAACGTATTGCAGTGAAACAAATTTGATATATTTGCACTTATTGTATCTTTGAACCAAATGGAGTAATTACAGCCATGGTTCTTACTTATTTAAGGCGTAAAACATCATTCTATTATTTAGAATTTAGCGATTTGATAGTAAATATTGCATAAAGTACTCATTATTCTGCAAACATAAGTGCCTTGAACAACAACTATATCTGTTACAAACAATTCTGTGTTTTATCTATTTCTTATATTGAGAAATTCAATATATAAACAGGAGTTTATTAACTTATCCCCTACATTTTCAGACATCTTCGGATCTTTGCTCGGCGGTACTAGGTTGTATATACGCGGGTAGACTTTCCCCAAGTCTATATGAGGAACCAATGCAAAAGATCGACGTTGGGGATAATTTACTACATTCATTCGTACTTAAAGGGCGGCATTATTGTCCCAAGTTAAAATTCCAACATCGAGTATCAAATCCCTGGGATTGAACTTTTGTTTTTTAGTTAAAAACGCATTTGGGATTTCATTGTAAAAAAAGTACGCCTTAAAATAGAGTAATATGAAGTTGATCATAGTCCAGAGGGATAACAACTGGGCTATCACATTGACAGATAAAATGAATCTTTTTTAAATATATAAATTTCAGAAAAAGTCTCATATTTCTCCTTCTAGCGTGCTTAATGTACTTCACGCCTCTCCATCTAACTGTGCGCAGGTGTTGTCCTTGGAAGCAGAGTCTGTCAATTTGCAGCATTGTGCGAGACGGTTATATAATTCTCATTGCAGCTGGTGTTGATATGCTTTGTTGTAGTATTCTAATAGTAAGGTTTTATTTGAACAAATGAGGTGGATCGTTCTCGCCAAAGAGGCATTTTATTACCTTGGAACAAAGTCCGCAACTCCTATACTATTGTCTGATAGTTCTGCGCCAGGACACAGAGACATAAAAACAATTGTTGCTTTGTGCGATATAAGCCAATGTGGTTTAAACTTTACTTGGAGATTCTTGTCAATTTGTATTGATGAATATCAAAACTAAAAGACTGCCGATTTATATTTTCCAACAAATTATATCGCGGCTTCTGGCTGCGTCGTGAGCTGCTCTCATACTTTGCTAAAATGCTTTTAAAAATGAAACGTTACTCATATATTTAAAATATATTATGGGGTATAACATTGTGAACTAGATTTAACATCTCCGTTGTACAGTCAACCATAGATATAGATCATACCTAGTGGTACAGCCTCCAATTTTGATCATAAGTCAAGATACTTTATGAATGCAAAGGGTACGATTATTAGCTGAGGCCCAGGAATACGCTAAAAATGTTTTAAAAATGTACGCTAAGTCCCCTAGTGTCCTGAATAGGTAATGCGTGGTGTATGTGTATGTATTTATCCCATACTTGGACGTGTTACAGGTACATAAAGCCGGTTTGTAAAAACTTATATTTTCATCAGCGGGCAGATATAGCTTTACGTCCCGCTCCGAGCGGGCAGATATAGTATATCTACTCGCTACGTCATAATCGCCGCTCGCATATTTGTTCATAATTTGTAACGTTCGCATAATGACTGTAAACTACAATGCATGGAGAAAACACAGACAATCGGGATCTGTTTGATGGTTTAAAAAGGGAAAGAGCATCCACTTAATCAATCAAAAATTCGAGAAAATAAATGTGGGAATATTTGAGAGAACAGGAAAATCCGCCCACGGCCAAGAAAACAAAACTGGACATGAAAATTCTAATATTTCCACGATTGAGCAATGTGAACCAGATGACCAAGATTGGTATGGGATAAACATATTATCCTATAGTCGGTTCAGGATATTGGGATTATCCCTTGGCCAATATAATATATTTTCCCTCGGGACCTGCGGCCCTCGGGCAGATATATTATATTTGCCTCGGGATAATCCCAATATCCTGAACCTCATATAGGATAATCTCTATTTATCCTATGCCAAGTAGAGTTTCAGGGATATAAGTTGGTAAGATATATCCCGTATCCTGATTTTGAGGTTTCCATATCCAGAACCTCCATATCTCCCGCCATATCTCCCGCTTCGGTGCATATCTTCCCGCTTCCGGTGCATATCTTCCCGCTTCCGGTGCATATCTTCCCGCTTCCGGTAATGCAATAAAATGACTTTGCATATGAATTATTTGTTTATTTTTACACCTTGTACTATTGAAATGGCCATATGCCCCTGAAAACTCTACTTGGTATAGGATAAAGCAGTTATGTACGGTCGGTTTGGATATTGGGTTCATCCCTCGTGAGATATGCACATCTACCTTCGGTCCCTACGGTCCCTCAGGTAGATATGCATATCTCCCTCTGGATAAACCCCATATCCAAAACCTCCAAGTACATAACCCTTATATATCTTTTACAATATAACTTACATGTATAAGAATACGGCTGTTTTTTAATTACTGACTGTATTGCCGGGCCTCACATTATTAGTAATGCTCCTGCCCATTTGTTTAGCAAATTAAAAAAAATATCCAAGTGTAGTGTCGAGATGGTACAAATCGATTTTCCTTAGATTTTGACCTTGACTTTTGACCTCAACATTTTGACTGAGGTTTTTAGTCCTACATATAATCGTGTTAACCTATTTTGCACTCAATTAACCAAACAATATTTTGATTTCATATTCCTTATCCCGAGAAAATTTCCTTTTACTTTCATACCTCATTATCGTTTAAATTGAAGAGCTCTTATTCTAACCTCCTTTCCGGACACTATACCTCAAAACTGGGCCAATATACTTTCTTAAGTTGCAAAGGGCTAATTGAAGTTAGACTACTCTTTCCTACTTGAATACCAAATTCAAAAATGCTTTTAAATTGATAGATTTGAACTTGATATCGAGTGACATTTGACTTTCAAAAACTGGAAGTCTAATTTAAATTCAAGATTCGTTATCCTGAGAAAACTTGCAGAAGGTTTTTGTTGACCTACTTTCGAGACACCTATTTCAAAGAAAACTACTTTCGTGTAGTGTCATGATCGCTAAAATAGAAAACATTTGGATTGGACCTAGATTTTGACTTTTATATGCCATTGTTCAAGTTTTAAATTAATTAACTTTTTAGGCAAATTCCAACAGGTAAACTAGATGTCAGATTTTATTTCAGATTCGGAATCCTAAGTTGATAAACTGCATTCACGTTATGGTGGAATTTCATAAATAGATCTAGAAACACTTAATTTCAATATATTTCAATTTGTCTGGAAAGGATTTTATTTCCGCCACATTGGTATTGCAACGATTTATTTCAGTTCATATTTCAAAAGTATAATCAACTGACTTTGCATTTGCGTAGTTATATCGATATAAATAAAAATGGCAATTAAAATAACGTCACATCGACTACGATTCTAATTATAAAATACGAAAGGAAATAACAGGTCATTTGTGGGTGTGGCAATTTTGCTCGAAATGTGGACAGTTGGAATCTGAATTAAAAATGTTGGAAGGAATCTTATAAAAACGTGCCAATGCCTCCCCTACGATCCTATTTTACTTTATTTTACGAAAAAAATAATGAGATACCTGGTCAAATGCAGAAGTTATATTGAAGATTTAAGATACAAGAATGTCAAAATTGCTGGATACATCATGAAAATCAAAGGAATATCCTGAAATAAAGTCAGAATTTTGGGATTTCTTTTAAAAATAGGCACGAAGGATGAACGTATAAAAATCGTAAAATACATTTTTCTTAAAGCGGCAACAAGGCCTGTAGGGAGAATTTTGTTCACTGTTTCTGAGCCATCAGGGCAAAGTTTGGCTTTTCAGCATTTAGTAAATTAAGTTTCCATAAGAGGAAACCCACTTATAGATTTTTAGATATACTACATTTCAAAATTTTAAGAGCAGGAATTTCAGCTGAAGTAACGTTCATTCACGGGGTTTCTTTATAGGTAATGAAAAAATGTTAGCCTCGATGAACTATCCCAACTTTATATTTTGACACAGGTTCCATGATCATTGGGTACGTCTCTGTATTCTCAAAATTCATTTCGTTCATTGCGTACCTTCACTACCTGGTAAGTACAGAAGGCACGGATTGCACTGAACGAAGGCTAGGAGACTGACGTCTCTGCACTATTTGTTCAACCTTTAAAGGTGCAATAATTAGTGCAGGGGGGCATTCAATGATCATCAACCAATGTCAAAATATATTTAAGTTTGGATATTTCATCACGACTAACATATATTTTTATCATCTACAAAGAAACCCCCTGGATGAACATTATTTCAGCTGATATTCTTCTTGAAACGCGGTGAATCTTAAAAATCTGTAAGTGGGACTCCATTTAAAGAATTTGAATTTTCTCTCTACAGTCCTTGTTGCCCTCTTACTAAAGTCGTCCCCTTCTTCTCATTTCAAAGAAGCGGAAATACTGTGAGAAATGGAAGACTAGGATGTGATATGTTGCTATGATATAAATTGTATAATTATTTATTTTCCAGAGGTGGCAGTTTGGATGATAAGCATCATGCTCTTCGTAAATGGAGTATCGAGCTCCAAGGATCAACAAGCGTTATTTGAGCGTTACCAGAATGGTGGGGACTTTGGCGAAAACTCCTTAAATCAGCAACACAATATACGGTCCGCATTGAATCAGCAACACAATATACGGTCCACATTGAATCAGCAACACAATATACGGTCCACATTTTACTTATCTATTAGACACAGTAACAGAAATGACGACAACTTGGATTCAATACTCCAGCCTCTAGAACTGATCAAAAGAGCAGACAAAACAATAGGGGGAATTATAGGAATCACAAGCAAGCGAGATACACTATCTAATGATGATATGTGTCATCTTGTTTGTTCTTATTGCGCTGAGCAACTTGGCAGACGCTGGGCAGCTCTCTGCATCTTTGAATGTGAAAGTGGCAACGGCGGAAACTCATATGATAATTGTTTTTCCTTATGGCAAGTGACGATCAATTAATTCCAGGATTGAATTTGCAGTGGTCCAATTTTTATTTTTGATATTGTTTATTCATTGTTGGATGAAGAACTGTACTCCCGGTAAATTTCAACGCTATAAAATTTCTCGATTTTTCAAAATTGCAATTTCGCGGGTGTTAAATTTCGCGGCTATTAAATTTCGTTGAGTTGAGTTGATGACATTTCGCGGATTGCACAATTTGAATTTTTCCCCACGCTCTGTAAACTCCAGTTCTATTCAAGAATAATGCCATGCCTAGTTTTTGGCCTTTTAAAAAAAATATAGAAAAGTAGATAGAAAACTGAGGGCATCAGAACGCCACGGGCCGCCACGGGCCCGGGGCTTTCAAAATCTCTGAAGATGAGCAGGAGATATTGATGAGCAGGAGATAAATTAATTGAATGGGGATTAGGAGATAAATTAATTGGATGGGGCTTTCATCTTAAATGTGTAAAAAATGTTAGATAAGATGCGCATGACATCATTGTTATCTTAAATGGGCGAGAAATGTATTTCTTGGACTGAATGTCTTTAGTAAAGTACAAAATAAATCCCTTTAATATTATTTTAAATTTGGTATAATCCATTAACAGTGTTTACAATTCTACTTTCAATATTAACCCAACATTGAAAAGAATCAACAATCCTATTGAGTTGGTCAAACAAATACTGTTCGCATAAAAGGAAAGAGAACTGGATTTTGGATTAAATGTAAGTACAGATGAAAAGGTTTATTTATTTAAGTCCTATATTGAATGGACCGTTGAAAAGGTTTATTTATTTAAGTTCTATATTGAATTGACCATTTGATCTTACTCTACTTGATTTCAACAATAATGGTCTTTTAATGTAATAATTGAATGTTGACATTTAACTGTGTCATCACAATGTTAATCCTTCATATTCTAGAACATCTTTTGTTTAATGTGTTAATCTTTTTTTTCTAGAATAATCTAGAGTATATGACATCATCATTTCATGACTTAAGTTTCTTAAAAAATGCATGACATCATGCCCTAAAATAGAATTTGACATCATTTTTACCATATAAAAATCTCCAAAAAGTGTGTGGACCATTTATGAACATGGTAGTAAACAACTGGTGATTTAGACATATCTGTATGCTTGTTTAAGGTAAGTCCTAAATATTCTGTACATGATATTCAATAACACAACATCTAACATGCAGTAGGATCATATATGTTCCAATGTCTTTGATTAGTTGTTATATATGAATTGTATTTTATGTAAATAATTTCATTGAAATTGAGGGTAAATAATTTAGTAGAAATTGAGAGAATTTAGCATTGTGACATGGTCGAATACTTTAATTATCATGTACAAATATTCTTTGATGTTCACAAGTATTGTTCACAAATGTTCACTGATGTTCACAAATGTTCACTAGTTTTGTTCACAAATGTTCACTAGTATTGTTCACAAATGTTCACTGATGTTCACAAATGTTCACTAGTATTGTTCACAAATGTTCACTAGTATTGTTCATAAATGTTCACAAATGTTCACTAGTATTGTTCACAAATGTTCACTGATGTTCACAAATGTTCACTAGTATTGTTCACAAATGTTCACTAGTATTGTTCATAAATGTTCACAAATGTTCACTAGTAATGTTCACAAATGTTCACTAGTATTGTTCACAAATGTTCACTAGTATTGTTCATAAATGTTCACAAATGTTCACTAGTAATGTTCACAAATGTTCACTAGTAATGTTCACAAATGTTCACTAGTATTGTTCACAAATGTTCACTGATGTTCACAAATGTTCACTGATGTTCACTAGTATTGTTCACAAATGTTCACAAATGTTCACAAATGTTCACTGATGTTCACTAGTATTGTTCACAAATGTTCACTAGTATTGTTCACAAATGTTCACTGATGTTCACAAATGTTTACTGATGTTCACTAGTATTGTTCACAAATGTTCACAAATGTTCACTAGTATTGTTCACTGATGTTCACAAATGTTCACAAATGTTCACAAATGTTCACTGATGTTCACTAGTATTGTTCACAAATGTTCACAAATGTTCACAAATGTTCACTGATGTTCACTAGTATTGTTCACAAATGTTCACTAGTATTGTTCACAAATGTTCACTGATGTTCACAAATGTTTACTGATGTTCACTAGTATTGTTCACAAATGTTCACTAGTATTGTTCACAAATGTTCACTGATGTTCACAAATGTTCAATAAATATTCACTTATGTATTACATCAACATTCATCTAAATTTATAGCATGGTTTGATTATTTAACAAGGATACCTCAAACATACTATCATTTAACTGTTATCATTAGACGAGTCAACATGTCTAAAATTTCTTCTTATTCTTGTGAGTGTGGAAAGACATTTAGTCATGCAACCAGTATGTATCGTCATAAAAGAATAGACCATGCATTGCAGAAAAGCATCATAAAGTCACCTAATATACAACATGACATGGGAATTTATTCAACAATTCCAACTATTACGTCAACAGATTCAAAAGTGCTCTACCATCCATTTACTATGATGGTGGTTGGACCGACAGGTTCAGGAAAATCTACATATATAAAGGAATTGATTGACCATGCTGATACTACAATATCTCCAACACCGCAACGTATCATATGGTGTTACAGTCAATGGCAACCTCTTTATGACATCATCAAAACAATCAATTCAAATATTGAATTCATGATGGGAATACCAGACGAATTGAGTAACCCAGATTTTTTAGATGTGAATCAGAGGAACTTGGTGATCTTTGATGATTTAATGGGTGATATAACAAAAGATACAAGGATTGCTGATTTGTATACACGTGGATCACATCATAGAAATTTAAGTGTCATTTGCTTGATGCAGAATTTGTTCCCATGTGGTAGAGAAAGTCGGACTATGAGTTTAAATTCCCACTACATTGTGTTGTATAAGAACCCAAGAGATAGGCAACAAATATCTGTTTTGGCTCATCAAATGTATCCTGGGAAGTCTCACAAGTTATTGGATGCATATGAAAAGGCTACACATCAACCTTTCAGCTACTTGTTAGTAGACCTCAAGCAAGAAACTCCTGAAAGTATGAGATTGTATAATCCTTCCACAACTTCAAATATAATGCTTCAAAAACCATTATCAAAACAAAGTCTGAACAGAGGAATACAATCACAACAAGTTGAAAGTAATGGAAATATACCTAATCATGTGGTATCAGAAACACCTCAATTAAATGCAAAGGATACAATTATGTATGATATGAAAAATGGAACGTCACCTTATTCCTCTCATTGTGGATGTGACGATATGGTCTCATGTGATGACTGTGGTTTAGTCTTTGAGAGTATTCATGATTTGCAACATCATGTTAAAAATTGGTGTCATGGTCATCCGACCAAGAAAATGAAGATTGAAACCAATGCACAAACAAATAAAGAAGAAGAAGATGATGATCTCAGATTAAATGAAACATTTGTATATTTAAAGAACCTGGCTAGAAATGATAATGAAAAGGATTATGATCATAAAGTAAAGGAGTATATAGATAGGGGAAACAATGAAAAGGAGGCTATAGAAAAGGCTGAGAAGAAACTTGTACAAATGGATAAGGAAATATTCATGAAGCACTATAAGAAGGTCTTAAAACAAGTATTTGGTTTAGCAGACAATGTATTACACAGAAATATTGTAGATGAAGTAAATGATATGTTAATGAGAGGTGTCTCTAGAGATCTTGCAATCAGAAAGATACTTGTGAAAAATGAACATAAGTTTAGTGAGCTATTTATAGATACAGATGAAGAAGACAATTCAGATGAAGAATCTACTGATGAAGAAAAGTCTGATAATTATGATGAAAGCAATGCTAATGAAGAATTTACTGATGAAGAACAATATTATAATCAAGATGAAAGCAATTCTGAAAGTAGCAGTTGATATATATATATGTATAATTTCAATACCTGGGACATTATTAAAATATACGTCTATGAGGAAAGATGTCTTGGAAAGAATATGTAGAAAAGAATTATTATGATACTTCTAAACCAGCAAGTTTTAGTGGACCTAAAAAATTACAGAGAACTTTACAAAAAGTTGGATTTGATGTATCATACTACCAAGTCAAAAAATGGTTGGATAGTCAGGAAGCTTATAGTCTACAAAGACCATATAGAAGACGGTTTCGGCGTAACAAAGTGTACGTGTCTTACATTGATCAACAATGGGATGCTGATTTAATGGATGTCTCTAATATGTCATCTGAGAATGATGGGATACGTTTTATTTTAGTTGTCATTGATATCATGTCCCGGTTTGCATTTGTCAGACCACTTAAGAATAAAACTGGACAAGCTGTAGCAGATGCATTTGATGATATCTTTAAAGAAGGGAGAGTACCAGATGTAATACGTAGTGATGCTGGTCAAGAATTCCGTGCAAAACGTGTACAGACATTGTTACGCAGATGGGGAGTGCGTCATTTTGTTACGCGTAATACTTCCAAGGCAAATTACTCTGAACGTTTTATTAAGACATTGAAGACGAAAATAATGAGATACATCACATATAAACAAAATCTTAGATATATTGATAATTTACAGGACTTTGTCAAAAGCTATAATGCTACACATCATAGAAGTATTAAAAAAGCACCCCAAGATGTCTCTAAAGATGATGAGCTTAATATTTGGTGGCGTATGTATTATCCTAAATCAATAATAAAAAGTCAAACCAAATCCAAGCAAATTTTCAAATTCCCTATTGGAGCTCAGGTTAGAATTACACAAGCAAGGCATGTTTTTACCAGAGAATATGATCAACATTGGACTGGAGAGATTTTCAAAATAGCTGCTCGATTCATCAGACAAGGTCTACCTCTATATCGCTTGAAAGATTTTGAAGGTGAAGAGATTAAAGGAACATTTTATCAACCTGAGCTTCAACGTGTGCATATTGATGAAGACAATCTATATAAAATAGAAAAAGTTTTAAAACAACGCACAAAACAAGGTCAAAAAGAATACTTGGTACATTGGAAATATTGGCCTAAGAAATTTGATTCTTGGGTTAAAGCTACGGATATCAAAACCTTTTAATATTGTATATTATACTTAAAATAAATAGAAAAACATTATTTTATGTTATGTTGATATTTATATAAATGTTGAAGTACATCTCATTTTTGTTATTTAGCAATGAAGTATCAAAGTGTGAGGTTCTACTGTATATTAGTACATATTTTTAAAGTGCTATT